TGGCATTCTACAACTCGGGTGCAAGTCTTGGATTGTGTAATCAAGGGATCCTTCAAGCAATGATCTTGTTGGGTTTGTTGCTTCACTAATTTGGGGTTCAATCTCCAAACCTCTAATTTGGCTTTTTTGGGTTTTGGAACAATTTTGCTGTGGGTTTCGTAGTCAACGCTGGTACAGGGTTCGCATCACTCAGTTTCATATCGATTTTGATAATGCAGTTTTTAGATCATAATTGGATGGGGTTTCAATCTTATTCCCTTTTTTCTAATTGAATTGGTTTGGTCCGTTCAATTTTAAAACGTATGTATTTTATATTTGTTGCTTCAACAAATCTTGCTACCACTTGCAGATGAACAATGCTATCTAGCACTGTTGGTGATAAAACACCACCTTACGTGGAATATATATGGCATCAAATGATATATCTAATTATGCCCTATTTGGCAAGCATTATTTGAACACTCTTTTTTCTACGTACTCATTTTTAATCACATATTCACACAATTAAATATTTTGCACATAAATTCAAACTTTTCCCTACGTTTTAATCACATATTCTCCTAAAATTGCTATTCAAAACATTATTTTTTCCAAATAATGATTGTCAAAAAGGGGCTAAATGTGATGTTCCGAGACTTGTACAATTACACTTATCATGTGCTGTAACATAAATTAATATTTTAGCACTAATGATGTTATATAACATATAACATTATTCTTATAACATTATTCTTTGCAGATTCTAGTATCTATCTAATTGCATGTTCCAAGAATTTTCTTTATCTGTCTTTATCACTCTATCTAAATATTCACTTGACAACGATTAACATAACCTTTGCACACTTAAGTATCACCAAAATCTTTGGTGCGTGTTGAATTACTCAATTAAAATACTCTTCATTAAGAAATTGAAACATTCAAACCTGCCATGATCAGTAAATAAATTCTCCATAACTGAATTCATCTCTATAAAAACCAAAAATTTATGCATGCAAAGAGAAAATTATTGGGTTGGCTGCCCATATGATATAATTTTGTTGAAATAAAATAACTATTTTATAATATATTTTTTTATTATTTATTTACTATTATTTTATTTTAATAATATTGAGCATGCATAACAAAATGTCAATTATTTCTTAACATATCTTGAGTGAGTTTCTGAGGAGAGTTGCTCTTTGAAAAATTTGTAAATAATATTTCTATTTGAAGGCAGAAGTTGAAAGTCCATAACAGTTGTCGTGTTCTCTTTGTGAGGACAAGATTCACTCCCTTGGAGAAGAAAACTTATAATATCATTGTATCATTAAGGAAGATTGCAACATATGTATCTTTAAATTGTTAGATATTATTTTGTTCTTTTCTTCAATAACTTAGCCAACTAGTATTCACTTCTTTTCCACGAAATTCAAGCTTGACCAGAAGGCTATCCAAGATATGAACTGTGGTAAGCTCACTATGCATTGAATTTCTTGGTTGCCTATGTCTGGATGAACATGGCACAGTCTTTCCAAGAAATTCAGGCTTTTGGCGACTTGCATGAATCAAACATATTCAAGATATTCCCCAGACAAATCTTGAATTAATTACAAAATCGTCTACCAATATTTTTTTTCCTAGTCTCGCCTAAGAGTAGAAGAAAATGCATGCTATTTTTCAGGAAAAGAAAAGGAAAGACTACAAGTTGAAAGGCGTGGATCCATGGTACAGTATAAATCTCTCTTGCTCTATTACAAATATTTGGAGATAATAATTATTAGGTCTAGCAAGTTTTCTTAATCTAGTAACCCAGGTTAAAATATGCGTGTTTACATAATTTAGGCCAGTTCCTTGGTGATGAAGATAGAGGAACATATTAATATCTGTAAACAATTAAATTGGGTGTTTGACAAAGGTTTTGATAAAAAAATAATAAATAAACAAATAAAAAATTAGTATATTTTGATGAAAGTTGATAAAATATGTAGCATAAATTGTATAATTTAAAATAATTGTTGACTTTTACCTTAATGTTTTTACAATTTTTTAAACTGTCACCACTAAAACTAAGCACCCAAGCTTGACTTTGATTTCTCTTTCATGTGTGGACTATATCAAATGTTAATTGAAATAGGATGTCATTTTCAATTGTAATTAATTCGAGATGATAACAATTTAATGTTTCTAATAACGACAAAATAAGAAAAATGATACACTTGTCGGTTGTTTGTATAATGTAAATATTAGTTTGTCATCAATTTTATGACACTGAAATGTGGAAGAAGGCCATCTTGAATCATTGTAGATCCCACTCCTTCAAACACGTTCTTGAACCTGTTGTTTTACTAGTTTTTTCTTTTAACATCACACTGGTGATGAGTGTGTTTTACTCATGGGTTTTATACTATTTTAATTTAATTATTGGTTAGATTTTATGAGTATCGAATTTTTTTTGTGTGTTTGTTAATATTGTTTTATAGGTTTGGTGAGGTGGTATTAATAATTGCAAAAGTGGAGAAAACAATGCTATTGGCATCAACCGAGGAAAAAAAAGGAACCAAATGCAAAATAGTCAAATTCCTACCAAAACTAGACACCCAAGCATGAAGAACTGAGCAAAAGACCAAAACATCCCAAGATATGGCGCAGCGACGCCACCTGAAGAAAGAGGAAAATCAGCAAGTGTGGTGCCTCGCTACCATCATTGAAAAAGAGAATTCACACCGCGACGCAGCATGGTAATGTGAATGAAGTGTAGGCCCATTTAAAGCTTGTAAAGATTCCAAATCCAGGGAAAACATTAGGGAGAAGTATAAATACAAAAGGAGGGGTACTTGAGAAGGGGTCCACACTTTAAGAATCAATTGATACAACTTAAGAATTAAGAGGGCAAAAGATTCATCCGGTTATCTACATCTTTACTCAAAATCCTATGATGTACTAAATGAATGTTTTTTGTTTTTCTTCATACATTATGAGTGGTTAAATCCTTTATCAGAGCAGCGAACAATGTAATATATTTGAGATGATTTATTTATTCTATACAAGATTTTAGTTATTTAAAAAGCACGTGTTGATTTTATTTATGAGCTCAATACTTTATATACTTAGCCAATAATTCAATATTTTGTAAATCTATTACAAATCGAGAGGCGAGTTTTAAATTTAGACCATATAATATAATCTAATAATTTAGTATAAAATATAGAGATACTTATGCTAGTTATTGCAATTGTCACATAAATTCTTAGAACAGCAATTGCGTTTAACTAAGATTGATTAGCATAGAGATATGAAATTGATTTAATTAAATAGACTCAATGAGACTGGAGATGAGTAAATTGAATACAATAGAAGAATTTGATTGAGCGCTACATTAGATTTATGAATCTTGATTTAAGAATTAAATGTAATCAATAGATGAAATTGTGAGCCCCAATATCCAATGTATAGTTGAAAACTCTAATTCAAATTTTATTGCATTTCGATATATTTTAGTTATTAGCAATAGTTATCAAATAATCACAAAAATCATAATTGTATTCATTTGTCAAATAGGAGTTAAATATTATAGTAGGAATAAAGTATAGTCCTCGTGGATACTCCGGACTCAAAGGTCGATTACATCACTTACTACGATATCGTACACTTGAGATGAAAAAATGCAACAAGTTTTTGGACTTCTATTCTTATTTAATTATATATTAATTGAGCGAACATATACTTAATTTGTGTAAATTATATTAATTGTAGAAAAATTCCAACCTGGATACAATACATGTGAAAAGAGGTTATTTGAAGCTTAATTGAAGTTAATTTGAAGCACCTTAAGATTAGCCGAATTGTAAGAGATCAATTGGAAGTACTAGTGGAGTGTTTGGTAAAAATTCATAAATTTCGGTTGTTAAATTTGACATTTGGAAAGTCTGATTATTAAATTACAAACTTCAAAGCTTGCATCGGATCATCTATAATAATTTTAGAATGAGGATGAGTTAGTTGCAATATTAGAAGATGAAGGACTAAAATCACATGAGAAAAGGAGTTCAATTGGAAAAGGGAATTGTTTCCTTTTATTTCTTAAACCCTTTGATAGAAACCAATTTTTGAACTCTTTTGTGGAATCAAGTTGAACAAGAGTTGTGCCTAATTTTGTTCCATAAATACACATCTTAGTCCAACAAATTAAAGGAGGTTTGTAGAGTTTCATTATAAATATATCTAGGAAAGTTCAAAGAAAGTTCCATGTTTAACTATGAAAGATTGTGCTATTCCACCTAATGTGTTAATCTTTCATATTAAACTTATAAAAGTGGTATTAGAGCTACAATTGAAACTTAAACCATGTGGACATACAAGAGGAATCTTCAATTGCAACAAGACGAAAATGGTGGCCCTAAGTTGGATCTCGATAGCTAGAAAAATCCATGATTGGACATCTACTTGGCCTGGAAAACCAGGACCCATGTGGCCCTAGCCAAGAAGAATAATCCACGTATCTAACTGCATGTTCCAAGAAGTTTCAATATCGGTCTGTCTCTCGATTTTCATTGTAGTTGACATGACATATAGATAAAACCTATGCACACTTAAGATTCATTCAAACTTTTCTTAGCCACTGTTTGATAGGGATTAAAATTTTAATTTTAATATAACTCAAAGTCAATAATTAATTTTAACCACATATTTCATAGGATTCGCAACTTTTCAACCACACATCGTACCAACTTCTGTCAAAATCTCTAAAAATTTGATTTTAATTTTAACTAAATAGGGGCTTAGTAATTGAAACATTCAATCTGCCATTAGTACATAAACTCTCAATACTAAATTCAGCTCTCTCTATTAAAAACCAATCACAGTTTGAGTTATTAAGGGAAAGAACGAGCAATTGTGATAATCAGGTTTCAGAAACAATGCCAAGCACCATTCAATGTTTTTGTTTTTTCCCTTTTCATATTATAATTCTCTTCCTCTTGTTTATTAATGCTAACTATTCTTTTTCTGCTGAGTACATAAACTCTCAATACTAAATTCAGCTCTCTCTATTAAAAACCAATCACAGTTTGAGTTATTAAGGGAAAGAACGAGCAATTGTGATAATCAGGTTTCAGAAACAATGCCAAGAACCATTCAATGTTTTTGTTTTTTCCCTTTTCATATTATAATTCTCTTCCTCTTGTTTATTAATGCTAACTATTCTTTTTCTGCTGCGGTAAACGAAAAAAATAATGAAACCTCTCGAGGACAAAATCAATATTCTTTGGTTCACGTCGGTCTCGTTCTTCATCTGGATTCTCGCATGGGAAGCATGGTGGATTTATGCATAAACATGGCCCTTTCAGATTTCTACTCAGAGCATACAAATTATCAAACAAGATTGCAGTTACACACCAAGGACGCTAAGAGTTTGCTAGAGGCTAACTTTGCAGGTATTTTCTTGATCCCAATGATTAATTTCATTATTTACAAACTATCTTGATACAAAGATCATTGTGGATCTAGTTTTATTTTCCAAAAAGTGAGAAAGATAAACAAAGTTCAGAAAAAATAAAAAGATTTTAATTGCTTCAAAAAATTCGGTTGACTGAAAGGTCTACCTACGAGGCCTTAATTTTGAGAAGCCGTCGAGATTAAAATGTTATACTTGAAAAGTTAATTGTATTTTTTATGTCTGCTTTTTTAAATCTTCCACTCAACACAACCTAAGCATGCGCAATTTTTCTTAAATAAAAAAAAAAAAAAAAAAAATTTGAGCTCAAGATTTCACCTCGCTCTAACAACCTATTAACCGCCCTATTTAAAAACTTAAAGTGCTATAAAAATGCCACATATATATTTAGATAAATCTATTCTTCAATATATACCCACCATTTTCGTTAGGTTGTGTGAAAATTTTTGCTTGTTATGTGGAGTTTCTTCCCTCCAAGACAGAAGCATGATGGCTGATAATACCAGATTTCTTCTATCTGACTTAATAATCTTAGAAATTATTTTAGTAGACTTTTCTTATTTGTATTATTGTTTATAATACAATTCGGTGCGTTTATTAGTATCTTTGTTTTATGCAATATATAGGAATCGGACTATATATTATTTTCAAATTTTGATGCAAATATGTTTTACCATTTTAAATGATACTACATAAAGATTTATGATATGCTGCTATAGATTCTTATTTGACAATGGTCGTGAAGAAATCCCAGTAGTTTAGACTATGTTCAACTTAATTTTTTAAAATTCATTTTTTTTCATACTCATTTTTATTTTTAGGGGCTCACTATTTTTATTTAATTTTCAACCACATATTTTATTAACTTTTATTAAAAAATTTCGAAAATTTGATTTAATTTTTATAGCAAAATCAAACGGTGGCTGAATAAATTGATAGATCAATGAAACAAGATATTCTTTAAATTTGATTTTTATGAGTTTAGTGTAACATTTTGAAAGTACTATATAAATTTCTTAACATAACTATTATTTATGTAATTCTAAAAAGAACCTATTTTTTCAATTTGAAAACTACCAATGGGGAACGAATGGTTTACTGTAGTAACAAGAATATCACCCTATTCATTCTTTTATGTGAATGAAAAGCCTATGATGCATTATGCATATAAGGTAACTAAAATTTTTTGAAGTAAGATTGGGACACTACCTCGCTCACATAGCCTAGAATATTTTGAAATAGTTCATAAAGCTTACAAAATATCCCCTATCATTGTGAAAGCTTGAAGATGAATCATAATGTTTTTGATATGTTATGCAGTTCTAGACTTACTGAAGAATGAAGAAGTGCATGGTATCTTAGGACTACAGACCGCAACAGAAGACAAATTCCTTGCAGAACTTGGTGGAAAAGTTCATGTGCCAGTTATTTCTTTCACAGCCAGAAGTTCAACTCTTCCCTACTCACAAAACCGCTACTTTATTAGGACTATTCCAGATGATGTGTATCAAGCTCAAGCTCTCGCAGCCATTTGCCAAGAATTTAACTGGTCTGAAGCAGTGATTTTGTACGAAGACACGGAATCTGGCATTCAATTTCTTTCACATCTGAATAAGGCATTCCAAGAATCTGATATTGAGATAGCATATATGAGTGCCATCACTGTATCATCAGAGGATAATCGAATATTAAAAGAACTCAAAAAGCTTATGGCAAAGCAACCAAGGGTATTCCTGGTGCACACGAACCCATCACTTGGTCACCGGTTATTTTTTCTTGCCAAAAAGGCAGGAATGATGAGTGAAGGGTATGCTTGGATTATCACTTATTACTTATCCAACTTCTTAAGTTCCATGGATTTTATTGCCCGTGATTCAATGGAAGGAGTTTTGGGTATAAGGCCCTATGTATCCTGGTCGAAAAAGCTTGACAGTTTCCAAGAAAGGTGGAAAAGGAATATGGTTCTGAAGAATTGGACAGGTTCAGTTAGGGACTTAAGTATCCATGGTTTGTGGTTGTACGACACAATACACTTCTTAGCAACAGCAGCAGAGAAGATTGGGCTAGTGAACTCAAGCTTATTGTATGGGAACACCAGCAAAATTGGAACAGATACTACAAACTTAAAAATCTCAGCTTTTGGACCAAGACTTCTCAATAAATTGTCACGCACAAAATTCAAAGGCCTGAGTGGAGAATTTCAATTGATTAATGGGCAACTGACACCTTCAGCCCTTGAGATATTCAATATAATTGGAAACGGAGAGAGAACAGTGGGATTTTGGACACTGGACAAAGGAATAACTCGAGAATTAAATTCAACTGGTGAACCAACGCACACAACACCCACAAAAAACCTCAAAAATGTCATGTGGCCTGGAGATTCTGTCACACGGCCAAATAGCGGGGCCCTTCCTGCAACTGTAAAACTAAGAGTTGGGGTTCCAGTGAAACATGGATTCACAGAATTTGTAAATGTAAAAATAGATGCTGCAACAAATCGTACATTAGCAACTGGTTTTTCAATTGATATCTTCTTGGCAGCATTGCAGTTGCTACCTTTCCCTACAAAATATGTATTTTGTCGTTATAATGACAGCAAAAATAGTAACTGGAGTTATGACAACATGCTTCATGAGATACCTGATCAGGTACTTCGATCTTCATCTCATTCTTCAATTGTCAATGTTAACCATAACTCTGATAAAATAATAATAATAATAATAATAATAATAATAATAATAATAATAATAATAATTATGTTGATTTTTCGTTACCATATTCTGAACCAGGAGTCGTTCTAGTGGTCAAAAATAAGAAGCCGTTGGACATGTGGATTTTTGTAAAGCCTTTGAGGTGGGACCTTTGGCTGACAATCATCATCGCCTGCATATTGATGGGAATAGTGCTTCGAATATTGGAACACAGAGTACCAAACACAAATGAAGAGTCAGTTAGGCCACGCAGGGAGAGACTTCAATTGACTTACTGGTCTCCAATAACAGCTCTTGCATTTCCTGAAAGTAATTTTTAAATTATGCTTAGTATTATAATTTCCTTTGTGCCTGGAACCATTAGTTCCTGTGTCTGTGTCAAATGGAAAACTGACGAGAGAAATAGACACGCAAAACCATCTGTGCCATACTAGCTGAGTAATAACTAGCCAAGTTACTAATAATATCTTCTCCACACCTTGAACACATACCAAATTTTTCAATCAACATAGTGAAGAATAAATTTACTTCATTCTTTCTATTGCTCTTGACAGGGAATATGGTAGCCAATACCTGGTCAGTAATTGTATTGGTGTTTTGGTTGTTTATGGCATCCATCCTCATGCAGAGCTACACAGCAAACTTATCAGCCATTCTTACGGTAGATCAATTAAATTTTGCATTTTCTGAGGATTACTATGTGGGATATCAGGAGGGTTCCTTTATGAGAAGTTTTTTGAAAGAACAACTACACATTAACGAGTCAAGGCTCAAAAAATACTCATCAGTTGAAGAATACCATGAAGGAATGAGTAGAGGAAGCCAACGAGGAGGCATAGATGCCATATTTGATGAGATTCCTTACATGAAGATTTTCCTCAAGAAATATGATTCTCAGTACAGAATAGTTGGACCAACATACCCAACGGATGGATTTGGCTTCGTAAGTTTTCTTGTTCTCTATCTGATCACAATCATTTCCTTATTTATATAAATTCAGTAGGATAAGAACTTGGAAGAGATCAACTCCCAGAAGGTCCAACTAATTTAAAAATCAATAAACTCAAAACAGGAGTAATTGTAGTGTTTAACTGTAATTTGAAAATCAATCAATTACTATCTAGGCGAGAGAGAGCTGGCCATGTGAGTTCCAATCATAAATATTGGCTGACGGAAACTTTATCTGGAGTGCACCATGTTTTATTCCTTTTATGCCACGATTTGAAAGCACAGTTAAACATAGATTTATTTGCTGTGGTACAGTTTCAGATCCTGGGAAGCTTTATGATAAAACTAAAATGTGTAGAGGAACATGTTTCAACCTCGATTTAACACAATCTCAATTAGCTATCTGATGAATACACTTCTCAGATCGCCGCCTGGATGACCTAAATCATTCTAGGACAAAAAACCTCCTTAACATCAAAGTAAATAACATAAACGGAACTTTTCGTTGATTGTTAAGTATACTACTATTAGAATTATACTTGCATTACCTGCAAATTTTGATTGAAAACTTGAACAAATTGATCTAAAAATTACATTCTTACATGGTGAATTCGATGAAAAGATTTATACAAAAGTCCCTGTATTGTTTAAAACAATCGTCTAGATGGTGGTCTAAAAGACTTAATTAATTTGTTCTTACTATTAGCTTTAAAAGAAGTAAGTTCAACCATTTCTTGTATTATCAACATGGTGAAGATAGAATTGATAACGCATTTTTGTTATGATGTGTAGATGGTATGTGTACTCTTGATTGGTTCTTCGATGATGTTAATAAATGAGATAAAAATCACATTAAATAATAAATTTGACATGAAAGACTTAAGAAACCCAAAGAATCTAAGATGGAAATAGAGAGATGTTAAATTCTTCATTTCATTTACATCAAACTCCTTGTGTGTTTAAATGGAAAGAATGTGAGTATATATATAATAAAAATATAACCACAATCTCATCATCCTATTCAAGAAAGGATCTAAGGGCCTCGATTTATTTGAACATAGTGTTATTTGTGCAACTATTAATTCAATGTATTAATGCCTTGAAAATAAAAGTTTTAATCTCGTTCGTACCTGATTAATGAATTAGTCTTACTGGAATTTTCAAGTCACTTTATCTTCTTCAATTAAGGTCCAAAACCTATTTAAAATGCAACTCGACTTACATAATTGCTCACCGAAGGTTGTTTGGCACATAACCCAACAAATTTAAAACTAGTCTCACATAATTTATGCAATTCATTGTGATGTATATTTCATTTCCTATGAAGTTTTTTGGATTTGAATTATTATGTATTTCTATTCAGGCATTTCCTATTGGCTCTAACTTAACTGCGCAATTCTCAAAGGCCATCTTAGCCGTTACTCAAGGTCGAAACATGACTTCTATTGAGCGAAACAATTTTGGACCTGGATACTCTTCTCAAGAGCCACTTTCCTCAACAATCTCGCAACAGACCTCCAGTCTTACTCTTTATGATTTCGGAGGGCTCTTCATTATTGTAGCGTCAGTTACTCTGTTTGCTCTATTCTGTTCAGAGACATCAGTTGGGCGAAAATTTATCTCCCTAACTGCTCAGTATGGCCAAAAGAGCTTCTGTTTTTTGTCATCAAAATTTCATTCAATGCGGAATGATGACGAAGAAATTCACGCATCTGTCCCAGACACCGGTGCTACTTCCGGTGAAGGTGGAGATGCAATCGTCTTTGGAGGAAACCCTAGTGGAAATGAGGAAGAAAATTATGATCCTGGCCAGAACAATGAGGGTGCTTCTGCTGAAGATAGAGAAGTAAAAACTGACAGCACTGAAGAGAGGAATTCCATGGCACATAGTTGACTATAAACGCTTATAAATATGTAAACTTTTTCAACAGAAGATATATTGCTATAAACAAAGAAAAAAAATCCCAAATAATTTCGATACCAATTTGTTGTGATAATAGAAAATAATATGACACCATGTGAGTAATTGATTACAAAGTCCAGAATAAAATAATTGGCAGACGAATGAAATTTTCACTAAAATATGAAGAAAGAATTACAATAATTTTGTGTTGTTGATTTGCCTAATATTGTTTAACTTAATCTAAAAGACAATGAATAGCTAAATATATAGGAGATGTTTTAAGCCCTAAAACAAGAGTGGGCCATATAAATATGGCTCTAGAGCGCTAAGTGAGGGCCGCCTCGATGCTCAAACATTCGGTTAGCACCAGGCGGGTCAGCTTCACTGTTTTGGGCCCTCAAACATGCCAAGAAAGCATGATTGTGCCGAAAATTCCCCCTTGGTCCATATCTTGATCTTTTCAAACCTAACACAAATTTTAACTATCAATTGAGTTTCCAAATTAAACTTCAATTAGAATTTGCCAAATAGACTTCGATTAAGATTCTAAAAGCATTCCAACAAATAGAGTTTGTCTTAATGTCGACCTTAATTAGAATTCCCAATTATCTTCAGAATGGAATTCGAGTCACACTCTAATCCTGACAAACTCTTCCTTGACACAAATTTCATTATAATGAGTAAATTTCAAAGATTCTCTATCTGGAGACAAACTTCGTCGCAAATAATGAACTTCAACTCCGCAACAAAAAATACAAACGAACTTCTCCATCAAAATTTCGAGCTCGAAAATATCTCCACCTCTAACACAAAGCCCAAATGGGTTGAAACTCAAAAACTTGAATAATCAAAATTCCAAAAACACCCTTGGACACTGAAATTACTCGAATCACTTGCAACAAAAATCAAAGATGATTAACAATCATCAAACTAGGCTGAAACAAGCCCTGTAATAGAATCACCATGAAGTGCTTCAAATGAAGGACCTTTGATAGAATCATTACCTTTAACCAAGAATAAAGCAAAATTAACTAAATCATCATCTTTGTACTAATATGGAGGCATATTATAAAATATGTGCCTGTTTCTAGAAATTGAATACAATGAGACCTCTAGTAATATGGGACAAAGTGGAATTATCTATAGCTTTCGAACCCAACTTAAAAGTATTCATCAAAGTAGACCCTAAACAAAGGTACTGATCTAAACTCACAATCCACCTGAGCTCTAAGTTTATGCTGATTGATCTTCAAATATTCTGTAGTATTTTGCAATACGTATAATTGGGACATTTTTTGGGACATTTTTCATCCTTGCAACACACTATGAGCATCTCTACAAGCCTTTAGGACTCCATCTTCATTAATGAATTTGTACCCTTTGAAGTTAAGAGTACTTAAAGAGATAATATTTTTCTTCAAACTTGGAAATATCCAGCACTGCGTCAAGTATTCTGACACTTCCATCAATCAACTTATTTTTGACTTTTCCTATACCAGCTATCCGATAAGGCATATTATTACCGACCACAACAACACTTTAGAAAACTTTTCCATATGTTGTAAACGAATCCCGATTGGGACACATATGAAAGTGCAAGCCGTATCAAGAATTCAATCCTCTCTTGGTTTGGAATCACTGAAAGATCTCTATCATTGTGAAACATTTCTCTAATACTGACTTCACTCGAAGTGTCTAACTGCTTTCCATTCTAATTAGTTACAACCAATTTTTCTTTATTCTGCAACTTACAACAATCCTTAACCAAGTGTCCCTTTCTCTTGCTATAATTACAAATTCTATCTGTGAAGTTTGACCTTAATTTGTTCCTTCTAGAACCACCATTAAAAAACAAGGACATCTCTAAGAGCCTCAGTTCGAATGAGACACTTTTCTTTTTCTTTGAATAAAGAGCATCATAAACATCTTCAATGGTGAAAGTATCGCGGCTATACAAGATTGTGTCTCTAAATGACATGTATGAAGCGGGCAACAAATACAACAAATCTTCTTCATCATAATTGACCTTCAAGGTTTCAAAAATCAGCAACGATTTCCTTAAACATAGTTAGATGATCTTTAAGAGATGTACCTTCTGTCATATGTTGAGCATAGATGCTTATTACAAGTGTAATTTGCTAGTAAGACTCTTCGTCATGCACAATTGCTCCAAACTTAATCATAACACAGTGGCAGACTTCTCCTTCAAAATATCTTGAAGAATGTTATTCGAAATATGAAGATGAATCTATGTTAGGGCCTTCTGATCCTACGTTATTTCTCCTCCTAATTTCATGTTGTGGACATCTTGTCAAGTCTCAATAACACATCTAAATTCATCTAAGAGAGTATTGCTCACAACTTTATTTGCCACAATGAAAATCATGTGCTGCGATTCAAAAACGATATATCATATTTCATGTTTACCATCCAAAATAAAAAAATCTCCCTATGAGTTAAGTCTTAACTCTGATACTAGTTTGTTCTATACAACAAATAAAAAAAGCAGATAATTCATATACGAATTTATTGTGATAATATACTAGAAAATAATATGATACAATATGAAATAATTGATCACAAAATCAAGAATAGAATAATTGGTAGAGAAATGTAGACTTCATTAAAATACAGAGAAATAATTATATTAATTTTGTGTACTTGATTTGTCTAATTTAATCAAAATAAAATTAAGAGAGTTATAGATGGAAGGGAATGCTCAGAACGCAAAAATGGGCTTGAGTCGGATGAATATGGTGCTTGAGCGCCATGTGGGCGCTCTCTCTGCGCTCGAGGGTCCGTTTGGCTCCAGACAAGCGTCAGCTTCACTGTTTTGGGTGCTCGAACGCCAAACAACAACCTTAACTAGAATTTACTAGATAGACTTCGAATAAGATTTCAAAAGCATTCCAACAAATAGAATTCCTCTTAATGTAGATCTTAATTAGAATTCTCATTCAACCTCAAAATAAAATTCTGGTCACAATCTAATTCTAACATATGCAATACCAAATCATTATTTCATATGAAATTAGAGAATATTTTCTTTTACCGAGTCAGACACATTTCCATCATGTCTCTTTCTTTGCAATTTTCATACTCATGAAAAGTTATTTCACCTCGCTTATTTTTTATCTGGAAATATGGTTGCAGTTATCGAAAAATAAAAAGATGTCAATACAATATGGACATCAATACCCCTTTTCATTTATGTCATTCACATAATCCTGGTTTTGTTCGTCTCTCAAATCTTAACAATTGAAAATTATTCCACTTGGAAATGAACTATGATTGTGGCTCTTCGTGCCAAGAACAAGATAGGTTTAATTGATGACTCAATCAAGAAACCAAAGTCATCCAATTTGGTTTATAGCTGGTTAATTAGTTCACTGCAATAATATGGTGAACTCTTGGATTCTCATTCAATCTTGAAGGACCTACGACGAAATGTAATATATTCAAAGATTGTTCATGAAATATTGTCATAAGTTACTCTCAACTCGATTGCCTCATTGCAATAGTGTCTCGTAAGCGAATTATAATGTCTATGAGTAATATAAACTGAGTATAGTGTTGAACAACTAATTATCTTATTAACTTTAATTAAAAATTGCTCTCATTCAAAATATGTAAATAATCATCTAGATTTAATTTTAATTACATATAATTATCAACTTAAAATAAGTAAATAGGTGTCGGATTTCATAAGTCGCAAAAGTCACTAGGATCCTGAATTCACCATTGTTAACTTACTTTAATCTTTAGAACTTAAATTCACCATTGTTTAGAAGCACTATGTCCACACCTACTAAACTTGTAGCATGTGATTGCTGCTCGCAAAATTGAATGGTGATAACTATTTTGATAGTAAAATTATAATGATTTGGGCTGAGATCCAGATGATTGGAAATCTTTTCCAATCTAATTCTTCTGAAATTTATAGTCATGGTTTTTTCAATTAATACGTCTATTCAGCAAATAAACAGTAGTTGTATCTAAGTTTGAATTTGTTCATTTCGAATTTGTGTTCTTCTACTTTAATTTTATTTAGGACATATTCGGTAGTGATTATTTGATTTTTTGACTGTTGGATATAAAAGTGGGTCCCAACAGTAAGTCAAAAAGTCAAAATTTACGATTGATTTAGGGAAGTAATGGTAAAAAAAATTAATTTTTTGCGTTGAAAAATCAAAACCAAATGGGGGCTTAATATTTTCCCCACATGCCTTGATTATCTCAAAATTTAGGTGTTTATAATATTGATAAAAGAGAGATAAAGGTGAGAGGCAGTTTAATTCTTGTTACAAACAATGAAGAAAATAATGGATAATTTCGATACTAATTTGTTGTGATAATAGGCAAGAAAATAATATGAGATAATATGAAGTAATTGATCACAAACTCAAGAATAAATAATTGGCAGGGGAATGGAGATTTCAACTAAAATATGGAGAAAGAATTACAATGATTTTATGGTTTGATTTGTCTAAGTTATTCTGAAATACAATGAAAAGCTATATATATATATATATATATATATGATGTTTCAAACCCTAAAAGTAAAGTTATAGATGAAAAGAAATGTTCAAAACGTGAAAGTGGGCCTAGGCCGAATAAATATGGTGCTTGAGCGCCAAATGGGCACCGCCCGATGCTTGAGCATTCAACAGGTACCAGCTTCGCTAGTTTGGGTTCTAGAGCTCTAGTCAAGCAACGTGCGAGCATAATTGCATAGAAAAGTCCTCCCTCATCCATATCTTGATTTCTTCAAGTCAAACACAAATTTTAGCTCCTAATTGGTCTTCCAAGAATTTCAACTAGAAGTTGCTAAATAGAGTTCGAGTAGGATTCAAAAAACATTCCAAGAAATAAAATTCCTCTTAATGTCAAATTTAAATAGAATTTCCCACCATTTTCAAAATAGAATTCAGATTACACCCTAATTTTAACAAACTCTACTTTGACACGAACTTCACTACAATGAGTGAAATTAAAAAAAAAAAATCGCCTGTTGACACACTCTACTATAAGGAATGAACCTCAACTTTTCAACAAAAAACAGAAATAATTTTCTCCATTAGAATTTTCAACTTGGGAATATT